AGGAACAGGAAACTAACCAAATAAGGGCATGGGAAGGCACATGGGGAGCAGGACACACACAAAACATGGAACAGAGTCTGACACAAGTATTACCATTATGAAAACATTCAAATGTTACATTTACTAGAGACATTCAAGACCATTTTATGGCACAACCACAAAATCATGCTTCCTTGACAGAAACCAGATCAGCAGAGCAAGAAAATAACTAACATTTATTGAACATATTGGTACCATCAAACAAGATTTTTTTTCTGCAAGTTTTGAAGCATGCAGATTAAAAATTTGCAGTTTTCTGTCCTTATCAATAGAGCCAACTAACAGTTTAGGAAAAGTAATGACTATTAAGCACATGGTGGCAAACATCCAATGTGGCTCTTACTGAACCCTGAGAACAAACTTAATAAAAGTTAAATGCTTTAAAAGCAAGATATAGCTAAGCTAAGTTCTCAGCCCACATAAATACAACCTGAAAAGCTGCTCTTGTCCATTTGACATCATATCTCCCTTTTTCTCTTTATAATCTTGTATCCTGCAACCTACAAAATGTAGCACATAATATTTAATCATATTTCAAAGATAAGATTTTTTCCTTCTTTTTGAAATTAAGAAAATCCCAAACATTTTTTTTTTTGCATCAAGAAATATTGTTCAGTTTAAAGAAAATGCAAACTAAGAAGAAAAAAAAGGATTACTGGACTTTTCGTGTGTTCGCCAACATTGATAACAGTTGGTGGATCAAATATAGCATCATTAATTATGAGACACACATACAATTAAGCCTTAAACGCATTTTAAACTCTCAAATCAACTGCCAGCCTTTTGGTCTGTAGTATCAATGCCAGAAAAACAACAGTTGCCAATCACATTATGTGTGTTTCAAAGCTCTTGCATCTGTTTTGTGTGTCTGTGTGGATTTAACTGAGAGATCTTACATAATCTCAGAAAACAGTCTGCTGTATCAGAATAGTAATACTACCAATCCCACTGTGGTGTGTGTGCCAGGTCTCCAGCTGGTTTGCATGCTACACTACATTAGCAGACTCAGTCACAGCCAGTCAACCTACTGCCCCATCAGTACCAACTCAACCACAGCCAACAGAGCTACAGAAATACGGGCTAGTGAAACACACAGTTCAATATATCCAAATTCTCATGTATAGCAAGTGAAAAGCCCTGCAAGAGGGATGGAAGCATTAACCAGGGAGCTAATGAGCCATTAGACTAACCAATCAAGCCGACCATCAAGCCGACCATCAAGCCGACCATCAACCCTCCTCACAAAGAGAAACGTCCATTCACAAATGGAGCTCCATAGTAGCAGGTTCATTTGGAAAATTAACTGAATTTTTTTTTTTTCACATCAGTTGTATGCCGACTGCCCCAGGGACTGTGACAACTGCTTTAGGAGTGGAGAAAAAATATTACACATATTATTACATTATATTTACACCGAACAATGACCTTGACCAGCTGTTGCCTGAGACCCCCAAAAATAAACATAAACACAGATCAACTCGTATCCTTAGGTTATCTGCTTGTTTGCATCCTCCGAACTTCCTGTAGAAGACTAAGCAACAAGACATCATCACAATCCACCACCTGACTCCAGATGCCACCAGGTCAAATATCTCCCTGCACATCTGGATCATGCCATATCCTGTAGGATGCTCTCTTGTCTTTCTTTGCAGTATTCCAGAGCTGGAACGAACCAGCGTGCACTCCGTTCTGAGCCAAGGAAGGGCGACATATAGGCATAACAGCACGGCATTACACACACATTCTCTTTGCTACCGATCTCATTTATATCAAACATGATCTGTGTGTACTGTACCTTAACGGTAGCCGTTTCCACCTCTCTTTCTCCTCCTTAGAGCTCCCACTCCCTTATATCACCGGCTGCCAGGAGTGGCAGTGACGACACGTCTGTGGTGTGTGTTTGTGTGTGGCTCTGTGCTCATGTGTGCATGTGTGTCCCTGCAGAAGCCCTGAGCTGGAACAGGAGACAGACAGTGTGAGAGCATCTCCAGGCACTCTAGGAGTGGTGCAACAGAACGGTGCGTTCCCTATCTTGCTCTCTTTCTCTCTCTCTCTCTCTCCGTCTCTCTCACACACATGCGGTCATAGAGAATTGCGCATGCTCCATGATATACGCTCTCCTGCTCTCATACAGTACGCACACACAGGCTTTCTCTCTCTATCCTACACTTGCACACTCACATATGGAAAGCAGTGAGTGTAGAGTGTGTAGAGCAGTGTAGAGCCACTCCCATCACTGATGTGTAAATCATTTGCCTTTTCACGCATGGCCTTTCTAATGTTACAAAAGCCAATTAAATGTTTCTAATCATTTGCAGTAATGATATTAGAATTATTTTAGTGATATAATCTGGGTTTTTCAACATTTTCATGGGCCAAATATAATGATCCCCTTGCGAAGGACCCTTCCTTAAATATAAAGGCAGCACTATAAGATGTGTAAAATATTACCAAGAAAAATTTTTTTATTTATATAAAACCTTAAACTATCTGTTTTTTTTTAATCATATTGTCTATTTAGCATTTTTTTTAATAAATGAATACATTTTACTGTTACCTTTTTATTAATTATTATTATTGTTATTTATGTCCTCTTTTATTAATGCTTACATTTTTTTAGATTTTAAACATTTTTCGCAGAACAATTCCACTGACACCCTAGCACCGTTTGAAGTACACCCCAGTTTGAAAACCCCTGGTCAACTGTACTTATGTTGTTACTAAAAGTTGATACATTTTCCCATCTGTGCCGTTTCCATTAGCCATTCCTGCCATTTGAACTAACAAGTATTTACAGGTTTCGATTTTTAATTTATAGAGGCTTTAAGTATATAAGAAAAACTGAATCAAACAAATTGTTGCAAGACATTCCTCTTGGTTTTCTTCACGCACCTTAAGATGGATGCCACATTTTATTTTTTTCACATTTTAAAATAAGGCTGTAAGTGGTAGACATACAGTACATATATGGGTTATTCTGCAAATTGCCTGGCATTTCATTATATCCATCTTTATGCAATCCATCTTGTTCTCCATATGCCACCTAGAAATGTTGGTATTGCTATCTTGCCCTACTGTGATTTGTTTGCTTTATCTCAAGGAACAGAGGGGAAAAAACAGGGGCGTTCCGCTCCATTCATCCCACAGCAACACCAAACAAGGGGAAATTAAGTTCACTGTCTCGGAATATCACACAGTTACATCAGATTTGAATGCACACAGGGGCATTAAGAGGGATTACTTAGACAGTGTGCTAGGCACATCCTGGCTATTAGCCACTCTTTGTGCTGAGGAAACAGGTCTTATTGGAGACAAAAAAAAAAAAAAAAGAAAAAAAATCCCAACTCTGTTTGTTTGCTTTATCTCAAGGAACAGAGGGGAAAAAACAGGGGCGTTCCGCTCCATTCATCCCACAGCAACACCAAACAAGGGGAAATTAAGTTCACTGTCTCGGAATATCACACAGTTACATCAGATTTGAATGCACACAGGGGCATTAAGAGGGATTACTTAGACAGTGTGCTAGGCACATCCTGGCTATTAGCCACTCTTTGTGCTGAGGAAACAGGTCTTATTGGAGACAAAAAAAAAAAAAAAAAGGAAACAGATTCCCAATCTGGAATGTGTTACAGTCTCCCCTGCTCTGTTGCCAAGCAACCCCAGCTGCTCCTGTAGTGCTTGCCTGCCCTCTTCCCCCTCCTCCCTGCAATGGGGCAGTCCTCTACAAATGCATCAGTTTAAGATGGCATGTCTATTCTCAAGGGAGTGGACCAGGCCTACACTTTCAAGATGATCCTGATAGGACACTGCACTGCAACCACACCCTCTGTCTACGTACATCACCTGTCATTTCCTCACATGACACAAACACACCCTCCATTGGCTGGTGTGGCCAAATGTGTCGGCTCATTGTACTCTGATTGGCAGTTGAGGGTGTTAGGCAGCAAGATGTAAATGTAGCAGGATGGCGCCACCTTGTGTACAAGAATCATCATTGCTACTAGAAGTATTGTGTGTATGAGAAACCAATAGGGATCAGAATGTTTAGGGATCAGAAGTGTAAATGTAACAGGATTACTCACCTTTTTTTGGGCCCGTGGATGATTGGCATCTCCTGCTGCTATAATTTGACAGCTGTCGCTGTATCCCCAGCAGTTCAATCTGTGACTTCCTGAGAAGCTGCTGTACGTTGATCCTTTGACCTCGCATCTCCTACAACACTAACACAATGAATTCTACTTCATTTATCTTGCACAAATAGACAATATAATGGTCCTTAAAAGTATCTGAACGTGTAGGTCACGCTTGCCAAAATGTACAGTATGAAATGCATTGTATTAGATAACTAATGAGTCATGACAAAACAAATTATAAATAAACTGTCTACTGTCTACGGACCAGCATAAACCAGCAAAAGGACCAGCATAAACCAGCAAAGGACCAGCATAAACCAGCAAAGGACCAGCTTAAACCAGCATCCCAGTGTCAAAACATGCCTAACCAGCATATGCTGGTTTTTTCAACAGGGATTTCTGACCCCCAGCGAAATTATTCCTAACAAGATCACCACGTGTCCTATCGAGGGTGATTATCCCACATGAAAAAATACTATAGTAATTTATAGTAAATACTATAGTGTTTTTGAACCATACTATAGTAAAGTGTATTATACTGTATATATTATAGTATTTACAACACTTTGTCAATGAATGCTACAGCATAATGATCTATAGTGAACTGATAAGCTATAATACATACTGTAGTATACTTTAGTTTTTACTACAGTAAACTAGTGTATTGTAGTATAATATACCCTGTAGTTGTAGAAACCTTAGTACAGTATTGGGTAAAGTAATTTGTTTATATTACTCTAGCTGTTATATTACCACAGCAACTATAGAATTACCACAACAAATTAATTCAAGTACTTTACTATAGTAATTTTTCTTTCCATGTGACTAATCACTCTGAAATAGCAGGAAAATCAACACTGATGGGTCCAATTCTGCTTTCTGGGGGAAGTTGTGGCCTAATGGTTAGAGAGTTGGACTCGTTAGTATATAATATTATTAGTATGCTTATATTTACGAGTAATACATTGATGTAAGTTTTAATTAGTTAGTTATAGTAATGGTTAGCTAGCTTCACTAACTGTGCTTGAGAAAACGCACTGGTTACAGTTAGTTGTTGCGTTTCAGAACAGCGCAGGCGCTAGTGGTGTTTCATTCCTGAATCAATCTTTGTTTGAAGGAATCAGTTAAGTGAATGATTCACTTTTGTTGTGTTACTTGGGCTAAGTTCCAGTTCGTTTTTATGCCCTTCCCTCTCTAACTTCCCTCCGTCTCATTGACTCGGATGTACGTCATTGATTACATTGCACGAGTGCCCACTACTGGCAGAACCATTGCAATAGTATGGCAAGCCCTTTTAGCTTAAAATAGTCCTGCTCTATCAAAGGAAGCCCCGCCTTCTGAATAAAAGAGACAATTGATAATCTGTAAAAGCATTGCGTCACTGCAGCTGCCGTTTGAATAAGCTTTTTTAAACGCTACTTGAGCAAAAGAAACAACATTTATGAGATAGTTGTCAGATTTCATTGGTTATTTCAAATATGACATTTAATCATAAGCTTGGCGAACGGTTTTGGAGAATTTGATGTTTCCCCATTCAAAGAGATAGGAGCTGCACTTGCATGCCCAAGAGGCGCTGAGTAAAATTACCTGCCTTAAAGAGACTTTGCAAGGGTGTTTTCAAATGTGAGTATTATAAATCAAAATTTCTTGAGCTACTGTAAAGTGTTGAATTGTTGAAGGTGTAAAGATGCTAGACAGTATAGTATATTTGTGATTTGTAAAAACACGTTTTATTATGTATAGCTAACAGTGGAACACCAGTAAGCACACGTACGTCTCCAAATTGGATTTACATAAACCATATGTAACCCCCCTGTGTCCTACTTGCACCTGCTCTGAGTAGGACTTGAACCCAGGTCATCGGCATGGGAGGCGGGCGAACTAGCATCAGTCAGTAGTGCACCTCTTGAGATCACGGGAGTGAGGTTTACCTGCACAGCACCTACAAGCTGGCCTCCATTACACATATTATACATCTTAAAGATGATTACTAAATGTCTATTTAACATCTGACAGGAAAATCTTTTTTAAGTATTGCAGATGAGCACAACTAATAGACATGAAATAGACATCGGAGTGATGTATGTGTGCTATTATGTAGTAGAATTCACTGTAGTCAAAACTGCTTACTTTAGATAAATGTAAGTAATGTTAATAAACAAATCTACATAAAGTAACTAAACATAAGTTATCTATTTCATTTGTCCATTAGTACTGTTGATAAATTGAGGAACATTTATGTTGGATAAAAAGTGAGTTACATCAACAACTATCTCAGCATGTAAATGTAGCATTGAGCACATAAATCACAGAGGTAACTTGAATCTTGTCTGGATGTTACAGGGACAGATGAGCACACGTGTAATTAACCAGTGGAGAGTGACTGATGAAGGGATGCTGCCATCAAAGGCTTTTAGTGAGTACACTACAGAAATGAATAAAACATAGTTTTAAATCTTAAGTTGTCTATTTTAATTATTGTAATTTCAAACAGAGTTATTACTGCACTTTTCTGATTCTTGATTTCTGTGCATTTGCTGCAGAGCTTTTGTGGTGGAGCAGGACCTACAAGGCAAGGTGACAGTGGCATTTGTGAAAAAAAGGGAAAACCTGGCACAAAATATAGAGTAAGATTATTTTGTTACTTCTAATACAGAAATGGCATTTAGGATCTGAAATGTCCGTAGACAGGTGTGAGCACCAAAGATTCCTTTGTCTCCTTGAAATAATTGCAAAAAAAATAAGCATAAAAAATTATGAGACAAAAGATAATTTACGCATTTTTATTTGTGTAAAAAACATATAAATAGGTCCCACTTTATATTAAGTGGCCTTAACTACTTAC